GAGAACTGATAAAGAGAGTTCCTTTTAAGTTTGTCTGCCTGCCGTCTGTTTAACGAGCAGAGAAGGGGGGACAGAACAGATTTCCATCCACAATATACTATCCATGAAACAAAAGGCTGTGTAATGTGAAGGCACAGTCTCAGAGAAAATGAATATCATTTATACTACTTTCTATCTCAGAAAAAAACCCAAATTAAAGCTCACTGAATTTTACCTATAAAATCAGAATCCTCTTATTGTTCAGTCTATCTTCATACTTGTTCTCTTTCACGACAACAGCCCTAAAATTAGAGCAACAGTTCTTAGCTTTTATGGATTGTGGACCGACTTTAAATCTCAAGTATGTAATGTGTGGTTGCCAGGATGACAAACTGACAAGTCTGGAAGAAAAGTATCTTGCTGAAGAGCATAAATACAAATAAAGGCAGAGACTGAGCATCAAACATAAAAGAATTTTTATTTTATGTTATAGCACCGATGGCTCTCATACCATAATTGTGCACTACTTGCCAAATGACCAGCATTAGAAAGTCTCTATAATTGCAGAAAAATTCTGTCCCATCACTATGACAATTAGAAGCTTTTGCTTTCCCCAGGTGGTTGTAGTGCAGGTATGAATAGATTTTCATTGGATGCTATGTCATGTATTTTTTAACTTCCCTGTGTTTCTGTTTTTACCCTTGGATTTCACATCAATAATCTTAGGACATAATCAGGTAAAGGTTCCCCTCGCACATATGTGCTAGTCATTCCTGATTAGGGGGTGGTGCTCATCTCTGTTTCAAAGCTGAAGATCCAGCGCTGTCCAAAGAAATCTCCGTGGTCATGTGGCCGGCATGACTAAATGCTGGAGGCCCATGGAACGCTGTTACCTTCCCACCAAGGTGATCTCTATTTTTCTACTTGCATTTTTATGTGCTTTTGAACTGCTAGGTTGACAGAAGTGGACAAGTAATGAGAGCTCACTCTGTTATACAGTGCTAGTGATTCAAACCTCCGAATTGCCGACCTTTCTGTTCGACAAGTTGAGCATCTTAGCCACTGAACCACTGTGTCCCTACTTAATCACTAATCTTTATCTGTGGGTCAGATCTAAAATATATTATAGCTGGAAATAAAAAAGAGTTAGAGACATTCGGTATATTTCAAAGAGTATTATCTGATGTCAGCTTGGACATCTCTGAAGGAGCCGGGGCAAAACTGAAGCTAAGAATCCGACCAGAGGGCAGACACCTGCTAGTGAAATCTCTTCAGATAAACAAGCGATTGTGAGATAAGCCTATCTGTACTCCAGACAGCTGCTCCTCAGGAGTGAACTGCATGAATAAAAGTTTTTGCAATCAGCTCCTAAGTTGAGCAGCTAGGAGTTGCGGTATTCCATCTTCACTCACAACTGCACTGCAGCCTATATGGACATTAAATCCAGCCATGTTCATTTCTTAGCCACTTTTGAATGTAATTAATCTATAGGTAGATTTTTCCTTTGCAGCAACACCCCCACGTTAGTGTAACTTTTTTTCTGTATTACAAAAATAAAAGAGACTAAGGTTCAGAGATGAGGACCCAGATTGTTGGGGGCAATATGCTGACTCTCTGTAAACCGCTTAGAGAGGCCTGAAAGGCCTATGAAGCGGTATATAAGTCTACTGCTATTGCTATTGCTATTCAGGAAATGTTGGCACAAAATTTAACCAACAAATGATTTAAAAATTAAAAAAAAAACAGAACAAAGGGGACAGCAACTTTTATTTTTATTATGATTAATTTTGGTGAAATTAACTTGAATTAAGGTAGCCAAATGGATCAGAACTTCATGGGAATGCTTTCCATTTTTAAAAGTTAAAAATAAGAAGATATTAATAAAAATATGAAAATACGAGATCAAATAAAATGTATAAATAAAATGGGCTTCAAAACTGAGAAATAAAGCATTTGGGCATTAAATTGAAAAAAATATGAATTGTTTATTCATTCTATTACAATATTTTCCCCAACAAGATATTGTAAAATAATTTAACTACATAGCCTACAATTCATATGTTTACATATGTTCAAATTATCTTAATTTCCTACTTGACACAAAATCTCCCCACAAAAAACCAGTTTCTCATGTACTTAATTTATCTCAACAGGAAAAGAATGTCACTCTTGCTCCCATTATATGGTAACAAAGTGCTTTGTGCAGAATATATCACATTTGTATAACATATTGTATGGTACTATAATGATTAAGCCTCTGGTGATGAAGGCACAACAAGTATATAGGTTTCTATGGGAAATCTGAACTAGTCCTGTCTAGATGTCAGGATCTCCTGCAGCACTGACAGCTCTATATTAAATTGGCTATTTTAAGACACTGGGATCCAGACAAGACATTGCAATACATTTGTCATACCTTCCTGACTGCTGCACTATCAGTCTTTAGAATGTAGTAGGATAAATTTATCCCCTTTTTGCGCGAAGATAAAATGTCTAAGAAATCCATTATTAGTCACAAATCATCAGCGGTAAATCAAAAACAGAACTGGGAAATGGGTTTCAGAAAGCTCTATCCCATGTTCTCCTACAAATGTTTAATGACTTGGACTTGGGAGGCCCAGAGCAGTCCACATAAGGAAAAAGTGATTTGGTTATATAATAGGTGACAGGTGTAAGAGAAACCCAGATTTCCTCAGTTCACTTCAGATCATTTTTGGGGTCCACAGGTGAGTACATTTGTTTCATATAGAACTACTGGCATGACTGCAACCTACCTAGCATCCCAGAAAAAATGGCTATTAGTCCAGTGGCTTTTGATCATGGCAATCACAACTACCATGGAGCTGGAAGTTTACCAACTTTATGTAAGCATTATCTCAAAGTATCAACATATTAAAATGTACTTTTGGAAGGAAGGAAGGGAGTGAGGGATTTTTTTTTTACTTTATAAAACCTTAACCTTTGAAAAAGCATAGCCCTTCCTCATAAATTTGCTCACTAAGGTCCCCAATGGTTTATGCAAATTACTTGAAAAAAACCAAAACCAAGCCAGACAGTAGCCATAACAGGGTTTTGTATCAGAAATAGCTCCAGTCATGTATCTCAATGCAGGTCTACCACCAAAATTTCAATGGATAAATCAATTAATGAAGGTTTTAATTGTTTTTAGTGGTTCATTTATGAACTGCTGCTATTTCCTCAGCCAGTACTTTGATGTACAACTTTGATGTACTTGTATATAATCTGAACAATGGCCCACAACCTTTGGGGCACCAGGGACTGGTTCCATGGAGAAATGTTTTCCACAGACCAGAAGGAGGCGTGGTTTTGCATACTGCCTGCATCCCGTGGATGAGGTTTGCTTGTTTGCGTGGACCTGTTGCTGACATGCCAAGGACCAGTACCACACCGCAGACTGGGGTTTGGGGACTCCTGGACTAGAAGACTTCCAAGATCCCTTCCAACTCTGTTATTCTGTTATATGATTCTGCTTAAATGAACTAATTATCGTCCATATCCAATGGCACAGAACTTTCTGCAAGTGTTAATAGGGTCCTCAGCAGGTACTTTTGTCCATCCTATTCCTTGCCAGCAAAAGTACCTGGGTACCAAGTTGCTTTGCAAAAAGGAAAAGAACAAAGAACACCCTAGGTTATGCCTGGCTTCCAGGCATATGCAGCACAACCTTAACCATCACTTCTGAATAAGGCATAATTGGTTTGATTACCCATGCTACAATACAATGTTTGCATTACAATCTGTAACTGACCCATTCAACTGTTTGGTTAAAACCAGAAAAGCAATGCACAGGACTTTTGGATGTATCAAAATGCTCAGATAAATCACATGTCCTACAGGATTGGGCGGCATATAAATTTATTAAAAGTTAAAGTTAAAAGTTAAAGTTAATGTGAAAGTGAAGGCAAAGAAAATTCTATGTTCAGACAGACAATAAAAACTGGATACATTGTAGTATCAGAGAGTTTCAATGAATCTACAAAAAAGTTCAGCCTAGCTGCAACAAGGAAGCTTCTGTGAAGCACAGATATCCTTTTAGGGCAACCTTACTTGTTCTGGATTTAAAATACTAGCACATCGTCCCCAATTGGGGTGGGGGACAACTATTCTGAAAAATGCTGGTGGAGAATTTAAAGTCCAGAGCATTTAGAAACCATCATTACTAAAACAGTAACTGGGATACAAATTACTATGTTACAAAAGGACCTTCATTTTCCCCTGAAGTGAGGTTGGCCCTAATCCTTTTGGTCTTCTGCAAAAACATGTCCCGTTCCCCCCCGCCAATCAGGCTGGGAATCTCCTGGTACCAGGGAGCCCCAGGTGTAAACTGAACCATGCAGAACATTCTGATTCCAACCTTCTTGTGATCTTCTTATTTGTGTTTAATTATGTAAGCATTTTAAGTGGTTTTATTATATGTTCTAATACTTGATTTTTATTGTACTCCGCCCAGTCATCTTGCATAAGATGGATAATTTAACTCACAATAAGACTTCTGTTCTTGTGTAAGGTCTGAACCACTTATTTCTTTTCAAAACATGCAGTCGTACTATCAAAAAAGGATACAATTTATGAATTATAACTATCAGATGTATCAATCTGAAATGGTTTAAAAACCCTTTATTATAGATTTTTAAAATATTTAATGCAAAGTGCATGCAATGGCCTTTAGGCAGAAAAATAAACTAAACAGAAAAAGTAGGTGGATGTCCAAAAGAAACAAGTTCAGATTATATGACCTTGTCTGATACATTTAAAAGATACAAATAATGTCTTAATGTTCCAAGCTGAGTAATTCTTACTGAAACATGAGCTTTCATAGCCTGTACTCTTGCCTGAAGAACAGCTTGAATTATAATAGATCTGCTAGCTTGCAAAATCCTACATCATCCTGTCTTTCCAAAGTAGTGCATCCATTTATGTAAATATGCTCTTGAGGCTATATAAAGAATATCACCTCTACGTGATTCCATTTCAAGGATTACTGTTCCTTAAACACCATAATCCAGAAGTATATAAAGCCAAAGATCTTTGCTAATCACCTTATCAGATATAATGTTCCCCATTACCAAAGTATCTAAATGGAAGGGCTTCTTCTCACCTGACACAGTCTTCGGAGTGCCCTCTGATTTGTCAACTTGTACTTCCAGGCCAGGTACCAGCTGCGTTTCTTCCACGGCTTGGGTTGTGGGTTAGGCTTCCATTCATCCATCACAGCAGGGCAAAAGGGACAGCAGTAGATAACATGAGGCAACTGTCACCATCTGCTCTTCTCTCATTGAATTATTCAAGTTAAACCTGGCAGGACAAAGTAAACAAATAAAATGAAAGGAAGAGCTGGTCATATTTAGGTTCAAATGTCTGAGAGAATGTCACTAGGTTTTGCTGTTTTTTAAAAACACCCAAATTTGCACAAATATTTCATTCACATAATTTATTCTGGGCAGCACATTTGGAAGTTTGCAGAATGTAACGGTGTGACAAGGACAGACTGGAAGGAATGACAATGAATTCTTTGTCAGGGAAAACTAAAAGGAGAATGAAGACTGTTGAACATGGAGCCAAGCAAAGGACCTTGAGTTTTATGCAACATTTCCCCCCCCCCCCAATCATATTATATTCATATTGTGTATGTATATGTGCAATCCCCGCCCCAGAAAATGTATTTTCAGATTAAGAGAACCTTCTGTAGATGTTGGCGACAGCCAGAAAATGGAAGGGGGAGGCAAGATCTTAGCAGCATCCAGAAAATGTTGTCCCATTTCCACTCTCAGAAAGATAAAATTAAAAGAAAAAGCTGAACATGCTAGAAATGGCATGGGGATTGATCTAGGTTTGCAATGCTTATTGAAGAACCAGATGGAGCTGGTTCTGAATTTTCCATACAGAACCATCCTGCCAACACTGCTATGAAAAGAGTTCTTCTATGAATTGCCTTCTGATCCAGATCTCAATAGAGCTCTACAGATCACACATTAAAGTGATAAATATTATTTAAAAAATTCATCCTTCAGAGCTGGCTGGAGAATTCTGGGAGTTGAAGTCCACAAGTCTTAAAGTTGCCAAGTTTGGGGACCTCTGCTTTAGAATCAGCATCTCTGCTAAGGCTTCATGCCGTAAATATATTTTCTGGAGGATTTTTTTTAAAAAAAAAAAATAGCTTCCTCAATCTGCTATTGTCTACCACATTCTGGACTTCAAATCCCACGAAGCTCTTTCATGGGAACGTCCCATTCACCGACATGCCAGCCGGGCATTTTTCTAAGAATGATAGGGGCAACAACATCTGTACAAACCATCCGGTTTTAGACTACCCATAACATTTGCCAACCCTTCTCACAAATTACCTCAACCCAAAGCAAAGCTTATATCCAGAGTGATATTCAGCAAGGAAACGGGAACGCCTCCTGGAGCTCTGGAATAAAAGGCGGAGGTGCGTCCCATAAACAAAAACAAGCAGAAATCCCCACGCAGAAGAGGCGGGGAAGAGAAGAAAGGCAGTATCGGCCACCAAACAAAGGAGCCGGGCGTCCTACAATTGACTCAAAACAAACCCCACGCGTGGGCCGGGCGATGTCTTTTCTCCTCTAACCAGCATGTTTTAATAAACGAGACGGATTTGGAAGCGCATTCAAAAGGAAACGAATTAGTAAGACGGAGGAACCGGTTGCCTCAGAAAACAAACGGAAGGAGGTGGATGGTGGTGGTGATGATGATGCAAAATGAATCGTCAGAGGCTGGGAAAGGACACCCACCTACCCCTCCCGCTTTCCCCAAGCGAACCCCTTTCCATTCTCACACCCCCTTGCCGTTCTCCACTCACCGGCGCTGATGAGCCCCGGCAGGCCCAGCCGCGGATCTTTCTCCATAGCCCGGCGCCGCGCTCCCAGGACTCCAGCCGCCCCTGCACGAGCGCGGGTGGAAGCACAGCTGCTGTCGACACCCTTTCACCGAAAAGCTGAAATGAAGGCGCCGCTCCGCTTCCGGCGCGGGATATAAGCTAAGAAGCCTGGGTCTTAAAGGAGACGGCTCAAAAGCAAGAAGGCAGGTGGCCACGTTGGAGTAGACGGGGCGGGAGGCGGGGCGGGAGGCGGAGCGGCCGGAAAGGAGGCAAGGCTTCTCTGCTGGAAAGCATCGGCGGCGGCAAAAGCCAGCTGCAAGAAAGGAGCCCGCATGGCGCAACCTGTGATTGGTTGTCTCGGTTGTCTATTCAAGTTGGGGGCCATCCTTTGAAAGACGGCGAGGAGGAGGGAATACTCCAGCTGTCAATCTCTCTCTCTCTCAATGTCTGTGAGGTGAGAGCTCGTGCCTGGCTCCCCCTCTCTGGCGGTGTGGAGACCAGACCCGCATTGTGCTGACGGAGGCGAGAGGGACGAGAAGAACTGCCTCCCCCGGTCTTGGCCTGCATCGAAGTCGAGATTTTCCCAACATAGATATCATTGGAGGGAAATGTTGGCACGGTGCAGACACACGCGTGGTCTCTCGCTGGCTTACGCATGGGTTTTCTCCTCGAGGCTGCCGTCTGGAATCCCCTGGGTTTAAAGAACACCCCCACACCCCCCAAGCAGGCAGATTTCGGGGACTTCCTTCCAGGCGGCTTATACTTTGTGAAGCTTTCGTGGAGTCTGGCACTGAATTTCACGTGTGAGGTTTATAGATCATCTTTTATGCCTTGGTGTTATAAAGGTAAAAGTAAAGGTTCCCCTAGTGCATAGGTTCCCGACTCTAGGGGGCAGTGCTCATCTCCATTTCAGAGCCAATGAGCCAGCACTGTCCAAAGACATATCCGTGGTCATGTGGCCAGCATGAAGGTAGTCCCTATTTTTCTACTTGCATTTTTAAATGCTTTCGAACTGCTAGGTTGGCAGAAGCTGGGACAAGTAATGGGAGCTCACTCTGTTACGCAGCACGACTTTCTGACTGACAAACTTTCTGACTGACAAGCCACTGAGCCACCGCATCTCTTGAACCACCACACTGGTTTTATAAAGGATACCAAATCAGCGTTGCTTGTTCAACTAACATGATTCTGCCAAGACACCTAGTACTGTATAGTCCTCAACTTACGACCACAAATGACTGTACAATTTCTGTGATTAAATGAGACATTGGTTAAGTGAGTTTTTTGCCCATTTTATGACCTTTCTTGCCACAGTTGTTAAATGAATCACTGCAGTTGTTAAGTTAGTAACCCGGCTGTTAAGGGAATCTGATCCCTCCATTGACTTTGCTTTGCCAGAAGGTCACAAAAGGGGATCATGTAACCTTGGGACACTGCAACTGTCATAAATGTGAACCAGTTGCCAAATGTCTGAATTTTGATCACAAGATCATGGGGAGGCTGCAAAGGTCGTAACTGCGAAAAACGGTCAAGTTACATTTTTCGAAGTCCACTATAAAAGGGTGTCTTTCTTTGCCTCTGTCGGAGACCTGACTCAAATCCTCCCTCTGATGGTGTGAGTCCTTGAAGAGATGCGAGAACTGAGCCAATGGAGGAGAATATTTGTAGCTCAGGGTTCAACTATGAGGTCGTTGGTGCTTTCTAAGCTTGATTCTTGATTCTTGCAGACGTTTAATTACCAAACTAGGTAATATTGGTGCACTAATCCAGGAATCACCAAGCTTTCAGATCTCAGAGACCACTAAATTCATAATTTTAATTCCCCAGGACCACTAATATGGTCTGCCTAATGACAAGCTGGGTGGGTGTGGCCAGGTCATGTGACTGGGTGGGGGTGGCCAACTCAAAGACACATCGAGGGGCGCCTTGCCAGCCTCTCCTTGCCTCTCCTCACCAGCCTGCCCGGGCTCCTTAGGGCCCCAACAGGAAGCAATTGCTGGAGCTAAGCAGCCACCATGAGAAAGAGTTGGCAAAACAGCTGGCTCAGTTCAAATTGGATCTGACCAAGAAGGAGGCTCAGCAGAAGCACCTAGGACTACGAGCCTAGGCTTTCCAAGCAGAGGGAAGACCTGCAGGAGTGCAAGGCCAGGTGCCAGCGCCTGGAGACTCAGCAGGCTGAGATGGTCAGCCAGTTCCAGTCCCACTGGAACGAGGCCCTCCAGCTCTTCGCCACCAGCAGCGCTTCCCTTCAGCCTCTGCCCAAAGTCCCGCACCAGGAGGCTGAAGCAGACCCCAAGTTGGAATTTCTGCTGCCTTCTGACCCACACAAAAAGACCCAGAAGGGAGAGACTCTGCAGCAACACAAATATTCATTGCATGTATCTAGCCCAGGGGCCATAGTTTGAGGACCCCTGATTTTGTACAATATAAAAATGCAAATATTATTCTGTGTACCACCAAAATGTTCTCATAGACCACCAGTTGGTGACCGCTGCACTAATCAGTGCACCTAGTTTGGTAATGGAACATCCGCAAGAAAACATCCAAGCTCAGAGAACATGAAGGACCCCACATTGAGCTAAATGGATAAGCCAACAGGCACACAAAGGAAGATGTCTTATATTACATCATCACTAGTTCCAGGGTATATCACCTGCTATCACTGACAGCAGATTTCTGCACCAGTTTATTGCTTATTCTTTTAAGTGAGGACCCAAATCTTCAACTAGCCTAACCAATAGCTACAGGTTGGGAAAGGGTTTGATAAATAAATAAATGCTGGCTGCTACATGTCACATAATGTTAAATAATTGACTGTTGCTGTTTGTTACCAATCAGAGAGTGTCAAATTCTGACAGCTATATGTCAGATAGGATCAAGATTCTATAGCCTCCCTGTTGTCAGGGAACACAAAATTTTAGCTGGAATGCTCAGAAATATTGTTGCATTCAGCAATTATTAGGACAATATTTAGGATCATTGATGTTGATTTACTTTGCTCTTTAATTCTGTAGAATAAAGGAGATAAATTCTGAATAGTTAACATGAAGCCTTCTGGCAATTTCTTGTTCTTTAAATACAGATTAACAGAGTTGGAAGGGACCTGGTAGGTCATCTAGTCCAACCCCCCCCCCCACCCAAGAAGGAGACCCCACACCATTTCTTACAAATGGCAGTCCAATCTCTTCTTGAGAGTCTCAAGTGATTAAGCTCCTACAATTTCCAAAGGCAAGCTGTTCCATTGGTTGATTGCTCTCATTGTCAGAAAATGTTTCCTTACTTCTAGGTTGAGTCAGCTCCTTGATCAGCTTCCATCCATTATTCCTTGTCTGGCCTTGTTAAATAGCTTGGCCCCTTCCTCTCTGTGGCAGCCCCTTAAATACTGGAAGGCTGCTATCATGTCTCCCCTGGTCCTTCTCTTCACTAGACTAGCCATAACAATTCATGCAACAATTCATCGTATGTTTTAGCCTCAATCCCCTAATCATCTTGGTTGTTCTTTGTTTCTTGTTATTTGTTGAGGCTTCTCAAATATATTGCATGGACATATACTACTCACCTTTAGCTAGCTGATCATTACTGGTAGGTGTGTCATTAATGAATTGGTGTAATTATCTAAACAAATGCTTTATTTCTCCTGAACGTGGGCTAGTACAGCGGCCACCAATTGGTGGTCCATGAGAAAATTTTGGTGGTCCACAGAAAAATTATTTTAATTTTTTATATTGCACTAAATTGGGGGCCCTCAAACTATGGCCCTTGGGCTGGATATGTGCAATGAAGGCTTGTGTTGTTGCAGAGAGTTTCCCCCTTCGGGGCCTTTTTCTACAGGTCGGAGGGGGCAGAAATTCTGACTTGGGGTCTACTAGCCTCCTGGTGTGGGGCTTTGGGTGAAGGCTGGAGGGAGGTGCCACTGATGGCAGGGCCTCGTTCCAGTGGACTGCATCATAGCCTGGAACTGGCTGACTATCTCAGCCCGCTGAGCCTCCAGGTGCCGGTACCTGGTCTTGCACTCCAACAGGTCTTCCCTCTGCTTGAAAAGCCTATGCTTGTAGTCCTCAGTGAGGTGCTTCTGCTAAGCCACCTCCTCAGTCAGATCCAATTTGAACTGAGCTGGCTATACTCTTTCTCATGGTGGCTGCTTAGCTCCAGCAACTGCTTCCTATTGGGGTTAACCCTGAAGTCCAAAAGGTTGGGACCCCTGGGTTAGTAGATCTTCCTATTCCTAGGCTGAAGATGTTAGATACAGCTAACCTAGGGTGCAAATATCTAGATGACCAGGAGATGACAGCAAAGACATGCGGGAAAACACTGTTTCCTGCCAAAACTGGATGCTGGCAATCCAGTTTTGATAACATTGCCTGAACTCAGAATATGTTTAATTGGGCAGATCATTGTAGTTGCTTACTTTAATATTACGGGAAATGGGGAAAATATTTAGTTCATACATTTTTATAGGGCCTCTGTGGTGTTGCAGGCAGGTAAACCAAAAGTTTATTTAAGCATTTTCCCAATAGCCCCAGGAGACAAGTAATTGCATGCAGGGGACAGTTTAACAGACTGCTGCAAGAGAGATAAATTATTCCATTTGCCCTTTCACTTGGTTCAAGTCAAGAAAACCGCTAGTGGAAATTTCTGTCCTTTGTTTCCAGCATAGAAATGTACCCCAAGTGCTGCTGGAAGAGTTCACTCACTGTAGCAACTAATGTCCTTTTGAAGGCTGGTGGCATATACACAATCAATTCATTTGCAAGACTGTAGCACTTGTAGAGGGTCTTTGCACCTAAAAGCACAGAGAGGCAAAAGTGGTGCTTTGGAGCAGCAAGCCCCAACCCTGCCCCTGTCCCATGGGTTGAATCATTTTGTAATACAAGTAGATTGTCTATCTGGTGCAGAAGAAGTTTTGCACCACTAAGTGGCAGCATAATGGCATGAGTAAACAGAAGCAGGGTGATTTAGTCCATGGGAAAATATTTTACTAAACACAGTCTCACCCACACAATTCTGTGTTTCCTTAGGATTTCTCATAGATGTGCAGATTTGAAATTTTTTAACCCTTTAAGTTTGTCTATGGACACACTCTCTTTTTACTTCCAGTCAACAGAAGTAATATTTCAAATGGAATAAGTTGGTATGAAGTTTAAGTTATGATGGAAGGCTGAGCATGC